ATGATTTTGTTTTCCACTACATCCATGTTTTATTTAGTTTTAATAACCAAAACATTGGTTAATAATCACTGCGTAGAAAACAATAGTCTATAAAGGGTCATATTTGAAGTATTTTTAATTATTATTTATTATTAGCCTATATATAGTAATGATTTACAATAACTATCGTGGGCTTGCTACCTTGGTGGTGAGGGTGGGGAGCCATGCACGCGGTTTACGACAACGACGATAGAATCGTGGACGGCCACCACGTGTGTGTTTGGCTGGGTTCGGGGTTGTTAAAATCGTTACGATTCGAGCGCGTCTTCCAGCAATGGCTCGTCTCAATGGCGAGCTGCTCACGAACACGTGATTTCTGAAAGCGCATGGAAATGTATCTGTGCTCGCATACCGAGACACACACACACTCACACTTGTGCTTTCCAATCAGTCCCAAATTAAAGATACGTACGTATGTACACCACCCCAAAAATACGCTGTCATGTCGCCCGCACAAAGCAGCGTATTTATTATGACATCGCCAAATGGTCCAAATGCTGTTCCGGGAACTGCAGTATTTTAGACAGCCACAGCTATTTCACTTTGTGTTGACAACCCGATGTTATTTGCAATGTACCCCACATTTTGACATTCATAAACGTCTTCTTGGTTTTTTCGGTAAAGTCACGTAGAAGGGAAATAATAAAATAATAAAAATAAAACATAATAAAATAATTCTCACGACGTTTCGGCCACAACGCAAGCAGCCGTACTCAGGTGAAGAACAGCTCTGTCGGGAAGACAGCGTCTGAATGGACACCACCAGCCTTGGCAGCGTATATTTCAACTGGGTTGGAGGGGGGAAGGGGCGCCTTGACAAAGGAATTTGCATATCAAGAGAGAAGATGAATCCCTGCAGTCACGAAAGCTTTAAATCGAAATCATAAACGTGCTAATGGGATTATAGGGCACATGAGATCGAAGGTCATCTTCTGACCCCCTAACATCATTGTGTCTAAATCCGCGGTTGCAATGGATCTTAGTGGTAGTGCCTCACGCCGCTAAACCCTATTGCAAGCCAGCCGAATGTATGTGTGTATGTTGACACATTCTTTCGCACCGTACGTAGCCAACCGTGTTGATCGGAGCCCCAAGAAGCAGCGTTGCGTCAAAAACATCGAGTGAGAAATCAAGCCGTGCGATGCAAGCGTACACTTCATCGAGAACCAAATTGCACAGAGCACGCCGCTCGCTAGCTCAACGTCCTTTGGTCAAGGTTGAAAGTGAAGCGTGTGTCTGACCGAGTTCATCCTCACACACACACTCACACACACTCACACACACACACTACGGCACGACGCTTCATCTGTCCCCAGTACCCCGCACAAGCTCAGCGAACATTCCTGGGATGGCATTCGTGGCATCCCAGAACTATTGGCTCGACAGAATAGACTTAACGGAGTTCGCCTCCTACCCTTAATTGGATGGCATTAAGTAATGTCACGTGACGGCAAACGGCAAATGAGGGAATCATCCTTCAAGTGATGCACAATACGGTCCCAAAATGTTGCCAAGTTTCAGCCATCTGTCGTGATTTTCCGTGCCAGGATTAAAGAGCGCGTGGCTATAAATGCCCTCCGCCGAGGTTCTATAAAGCGGCGGAGACGCACTGCCGCTCGTTCGAGTGAACGCGACCCACGGACACACACGCGCACACACCTTGTGCAAACAGATTTGTCCAACAGCATTAAATGAAATGTCTCCTGTATTACAATGTCGCCCCCCCCCCCCCACGCCATCTATCAAATACATGCTCGCACGAACGCACAACAAATACAATCACAATTCACGCCATCCTCTTAAAAGTGCGGATTTTTTTTTAACAGCCAAAAATCTATTAATAAATAAAGCTCAACATATTCTCAATGCGCCGAGTTCGGATGTCCTTGTCCATGGTGCTGAATTACGATGAAGATTAGACTCATCGCCAGCATCAGCTTGTCAATCGCACAGAACAGCATCAGACTAACAAAAGCGTGCGGTTCTTTTTCTTCTTGAAAGCATATGGGGAACATTGATTTGAAGCTTTCGTGACTGCAGGAATCCATACTCTTTGGCTATTTCGGTAAAGTCACGTAGGTAGAAAAATAAAATGAAATAAATCACGACGTGCATGCTTTCCCACCTGATGACGGACGCTTGTGTTGCGCCCGAAACGTCGTGATTTTATTTATTTTTATACCTACGTGACTTTACCGAAAGAAACAAAGAGTACATATGGGGGACATTGCAACTGCGCGAACATCCGCCAGAGGCACTACTGCTGCACGCAAGTGATGGTGGTGGTGGTACAACAACAGCTTTTGCAAGAAGCGAGCCTCGCAGACGAAACGTGTTTTATTCATTTATTCGTTATATACTTTCGAAACACCGTTGTACATCAACACTAGGTCACACGCGTATATTAGTGCAGTGGAGGACTCGGAGAGCAAGTAGTCAAGCTAGTACGGGGAGGGTTGTTCACGTATTGCGAATTCAGTTTTGCTCAACTTTGGCCATGAGAAGCGCACGCGTGGTCTGCAAAGTCAAATTGCGATGCGTCGCCGATTGAACAAAAGCGTTCCTGTGTGTGGCTGTGCTTTGTGTTCATTGTGTAGGCGTGCGTCGGCCTAACACCAGTGACGTTCACCCGAACCGGTCCTTGGCACCGCCGTAGGTCGACTCAGCATCAAAATGAGTACCTTGTGCGGTGTGCAGTAAACATCGCCGTGAAGGAGACAAAGGCGGTCGGCCGCGATGTTGGCCACCCAACCCCCTTCCCCCCCACCTCGTGTGCCGTGCCGGCCTTCATAGGTGCCCGCTAACAGCACTTACCCTAAACGCCTAAGGCTATACGGGGGGTCTTTGTCTTTGTAGGCGTGCGTAGCGAGCCGGTGGCTTAAGCGGATGTCGGCACTGATGCTACTGACCCGGCGAACTCGCAGTTCGATTCCCGGCCACGGCTAACATGAGTGCCACGTGACATCGGAACTGGTCCTACGCCTAGGTCGACTCGGCCATCAGTGAGCTCTCGTGCGGTGTACGAACAACAGCACCACACAGGGCGAAAGCCACACCCTGCCCCGCGTGCAGGACTTAATCTGTGCTCGCTGACATGTACGTACGCTGAACTTCTTTCGCACCGTACGTAGCCAACCGGCGGTGCGGGAGTAGGACAACAAACGAAACGGAACGTCACCCTTCCTCGGAAGCTCGGCGCAGTCTACGCGGGCGTTGGGAGGTCTTTGCGTAAATCGTGTTAAGGGGCCGTCCATAAATGACGTCACGCACCTAGGAGTGGGGGGGGGGGGGTCAGACATTTGTGACGATGTGTGACGAAGGGGGGGGGGGGGTTGAGAAATGTGACGACACGTTAAAATGCGCAACTTTAAATAAATATAGAATTGTTATAACACCAATTGTTATACTACAACATCAGAGTGCAGCGCCACATTAAATACGCACTACAATGACAATAGTTTAAAGCGATTTGAAGCATGTTTTATTTTAAAAATGGAAATATGGTTTTGGGGGGAAAGGGCAGAGCTTTGTGACGTCATATTCGGGGGGGGGGAGGGGGAGTCTGACTTTTTGTGACGCCGTGTGACGAGGGGGGGGGGTCAAAAATCGTCCAAAAACGCGTGACGTCATTTATGGACGGCCCCTAAAAACAGACTCGCCTTCAGTTCGCCGGGGTTGTCACTTGTCAGCGTGCGACCACTTCCCTTTGGTCGTGCAATGTACTCGACTTAAACGTCTGTGGCAACCGAGACTGTAAGACGTTGCACGACACAACGTTAACAAAAAAGAGACACACAAATCGAAATAAATGTTGACGTATCTCTCGTGGGAACGGGGAAGCGCTACGTGTAACCGAGTCTTGGACCTGTCCCACCCCTTTTTCTTTCTCACGTCCCACGCCAGACAGATGTGGTGTGCTGATTGTTGCTGCTCGTTGGACAGCGGCAGGCAGAGGGGGTGGGGTGGGTGGGGTGGGTGGGTGGGGTGGGGGAGAGACACGTGCCCATCGTTTTCGAATTGAGAATTAATTGGTGACAGCCCCAATTCTACATCGTCACGTGTAGGCGACACGTGGGTGTCACCCGTCTACCCACACAGTCAGTGGCGTAGCTATCGAGTGTGCAGGCGGTGCAACTGCCCCTGCACCGGGGCCCAAGGGACGGATGGGGGGGGGGGGCCCAGGGGGAGGGAAGGGGGGAGGCTCCCATTGAATCCCCTGTACCTCCCCCCAGCGCCGGATGAAGCTAGTGCGGGACCTGTAGCTCATGTTATAAAGGGGCCCTAAATAAAAAAAAACACAAATATGACAACACAAATGTTTAACTTGCATAGTAAAGTAATTGTAATTTTTCATTTGTTATACAGCCGGATAATACGACAAATCGCGAACCTTAAACACCCAGTCGTTCATAAAGGTTGAAGGCAGTATAGGACTATAGTAATAGAGCAAGTGCAGAATCACTGAACCGGAATTGATAGCTTGAAAGCATTTAGCGCGGGGGCCTTTGAAAGTGCGGGGCCCGTAGCTACTACACGTGTAGTAGCTACAACACGTGTAGTAGCTACAACACGTGTAGTAGCTACAACACGTGTAGTAGCTACACGTGTAGTAGCTATAACACGTGTAGTAGCTATAACACGTGTAGTAGCTACACGTGTAGTAGCTATAACACGTGTAGTAGCTACACGTGTAGTAGCTACAACACGTGTAGTAGCTACAACACGTGTAGTAGTTACAACACGTGTAGTAGCTACTACACGTGTTGTAGCTACTACACATGCAGCTACAACACGTGTAGTAGCTACTACACGTGTAGTAGTTACAACACGTGTTGTAGCTACTACACGTGTAGTAGCTACTACACGTGTAGTAGCTACTACACATGCAGCTACAACACGTGTAGTAGCTACAACACGTGTAGTAGCTACAACACGTGTAATAGCTACTTTTGCTACCAGGATAACCGGCACTCCCCCTCCCCCCACCGCTATGGCAAAGACGCTGTGCCCACTGCTGACGGAGAGCTAATTCTATTCCCCTTCAAATGCCGTCCGTGTCATTCTTGATGCGTCTTAATTACGCGTTTATAGTCAACAAAATAATTGTGATACTGCGTGGGCCGCTGTGGTTTGTGGTTGTGCATAAAGCACAAATCACAAAACTCACATTTGTCAGTGACACTGGCCCGTTTTACATCTTTATCCGTTCACGGTGGTATTATTGACGAGTGTGTTGAGTCTTTGTTAATTATACCGATCATTACGAGGGGCTTGGAGGCGGTGGTGGGGGGGTAACAACGTGGTGGTGTTACACCAGATGATTGCGATGTCCATGGTAATGTGTGCAATGTGTGTTTCTGTCATTCAACGTGCACGGGATATAGGCGGCGACTTGGTAATGACATTAACACCAACGTGACCTCCTGTGGCCAACTCGCGTCATAATGATCAATCGCTTAATTATTTACGCAATTGACTAATCACGCTTAATTGACTTCAAGTGCGTGGAGTGAGTACGTGTCCTTTGAAATCGCCATTTAATGTACCCCACGATCGTTTAGGTTTCATTTTAAATTGAGCGCACGTCCATTGCCACGTGACCGCCGCATTTCAATCTCCACGTCGCGCGTTTACAATTGGCAACGACTCTGCCTTTTAAAAATAACAATAACAACAACAACAAAAAGTGCTTCAACATCTGTGCCTCTATAACAACCTTTGACGTTGTTGTGTTAATCGCTCTACCGTCCCTTGTGAACGTTGACGTCTCTATCGCCGTGTCTCTCTCGAACGCGTGTCGCTAGCAGGGTACGAAATTGTAACGGCGTTGACCTTTCCACGTGTCTTGTCATACAAACCCGCGATATACGAAGGGAGGTCAAAACCCTTCGAGATCCGAATCTTATCGACGTACCCCCCCAACGCAGTTTACGGCATCACGTTCAGAATCACCACCGACAAACGCGATGAGCTGCGACGCTGATGACCCGAGTTAGATTTCTGCTCGTGGGCTCGCCATCCACGGGGAGTCATATTAAGTCGATCAGACCTCCTCCCTCTCCACACCTTCACCAACCCGCACTGACCAGCGTGGTGAAGTATGGTCAAAGGAACCGCCCCGAGCGACACGGCGCAGCGAAGACCTTCATCTAGCTTTGGATTGACAAAGGGCTGTGAATTATTACCAATTACGGTTCGGAGTAATTAAAATAGACTAGTATGAAATACACCTAACGCACTGTCACGTGTACAGCGTTACATGGGCGGGGTCCTTATTCTCATATCGCGTTTAAGTGGCATCAGCGACGCGGTTGGATGGACACAAAATCCATACTAGCCCCTCGGAGGAGGAGCCTTAAGCGGGCCGCATTTGCCGACTTGACATTTCTGCACGGACGTGCGTGCGTGCGTGTGTTCTGAACTTCTTTCGCGCCGTACGTTGACCAAGCGTGCTACTCGGCAGACAAGTCGACGTAACTGGTGATCGACTCGTCGCCGAGACGGCTATGGGATGCTGCTCGCGCGACAGGGCCCAGTGTCTCGTAACGCGGAACGTTTTGAACCCCGTCTCGTGTACTGTATATATAAATACCTCTCTAAAGGCGCAACATGCGCGCTCTATATACCGTATATACACTGTGTTTCATATATACGTTTATACCATATACAGTATATACATGATCTCTGCTTAGCCTGGCCCAAGCGCAGAGTCTTGCAAAATCCAGTCATCGCGACAGAAACACGGTCCGCATTTTCAACGTTTCAGCAATTTTCTCCGTGCAGATACAAATCACGGTGTTACACGCCGCACGCGCCCGATGATTGCTAAACACGTAACATGACGTGACGCTGGAAGGGGCCGATTCAAATTTCGGGTGCGTCGCGTGGGGCACGCCAGATCTGTACTCGAGTTCCACACGTACACAGACGTTGCTTCATTTCAGTCGGAGCTGTCCGGGGCTGATCTCCTGAAAATACCCCCTCCCCAAACCCGCGCGCTGTAGAGAGGGGGGGGGGTGGTGGGAGTGCCGTGGGGGGAGATCCGTAACCTCGGGGGTGTTCCGAGAATGTCTCATGAAATATCGAGGCCTGCGTCGCACACACGATCTCTACGATTTCATCGGCGCTTAAATCACACGTGACCTGCGCGGACGATGACGAGGGACAGACACCGCTCCGTGTCGCCTGTAACACAGACTGTTGGGGGACAAGCGCTGTTTGCGAGCACCTATCAAGGCCGGCAGGGCAACACGGGATGGTGTGTGGCCAACGTCACGCCCGTGCCCACGCCTTTGTCTTCCAGACGTAACCCGCACACACACACCACGAATAACTATGAATTACACTCGGCGCTCTCTTCGTCACGCGGGACTTGTTTTGCAATCACCAGCCGCGTGCAGCGCGCAACGGAGACGATTTGGTAACAACAACAACGTTGAAAATTGCACGTCCGTGGTGGGGGTGGGGTGGTGGTGGGTGTGGGGTGGGTGAATTGGGTTCAGTTAAACCCCGGTCGTAGGAGCAACAAAGCCAGCGAAAGCCGGGGGGGGCCTTTAATTGTGCGAGGTCATGTGTCTGGAGAGGTGGTGACGCTCTCGGAACGTCTCGTTGCAGATGGGGCACTTGAGCTTGTCCTCGCGGCGCCGCTTGAGCACCGGCTCCTCCGCGTACTCCTTCTTGTGGTGCGAGCGCATGTGGTACACCAAGTCGGAGGTCATCCGAAACGACGTGTTGCACTTGGCGCACCAGTTCTGCGCGGGCAGCCCCAACGGCGTGAGCGTCGGGGGCAGCAGGGGCAGCGCTCCGGGCAGCTGCACTGGGATCGCGGTCGCCTTGGGCCAGAAGGCGGGTGCGAGTAGGAACGGGGTCTGCTGCTGCTGCTGATGGTGCTGCTGATGGTGGTGATGATGATGGTGCGGCGTGTGGTGCTGCTGCTGCTGCTGGTGATGCTTGTACGCGTTCTGCAAGCCGCCTCCTCCGTTGATCTCGAGGCCGTGCTGCTTCGAGCCCTGCATGGAGGGAGGCAGCATGGAGGCGGAGAGCTGCGCGAATGGCCGCACGGGCTGCGAGAAGGCGCTCTTGCGCTCCGCGCCGCCGAGCGGCGACTTGAGCAGCGACGTGAAGGCGGCCGCGGCGTTGATGGCCACCTCGGCGCGCGTCTCGGACAGAGTCTTGGCACCGCCGCACAGCTCCGCGGAGGCGCTCCGGCTCCTGAGCGCCGCGGCGAACGCCTCGCACGCCTCGTCCTCGGCGCGCTCCTTGCCCGCCTTGCGCACCACCTCTGTGAACGCGCTGCGCTTCGAGCCGTGCTGCTGCTGCTGCTGCAGCGCGTCCGTCGCGTAGCACGGCCTCCTCGGCGCCTCCCGCACCTCGTCGACGTCATCCGAGGAGCGCTCGCGGTCGTCCTTCACCACTCGCTCGTCGCGGGTAGCCCCGTCGCAGCCGCCGATGTTGGTGGTGGTGGTGGCGTCGCGGTGCTCGTCGAGAGCGCCCGCGACGGGCACCGACGCGGCCTTGCTCACGAGCGCACAGTCGCCCTTGGCCGCAGCCGCTGGCGGGGAGTCACCCGAGGCGGGCAGCGGTTTAGCGCTCGCCCGCGCCCTCTTGGCGGGCGTCCTTTCGTCCGCGTCGCTCGACGGCCGCCGCGCCTTCTCCATGTCGTGCGCCAGGCTGTGGAAGTTGGTGACGCGCTTTCCGCTCTCCAGGAAGAGGCCGGCTGCGGCTGCGGCAGCCGCGGCGGCCGCCCGCTTGCCCTCGAGCAGGTGCTGGTGAAGGAGGGCCGCCGGGGACAGCACGGCGCCACCACCGCCGCCAACCCCGTGGTGGTGGTGGTGGTGCGCGGGGCCGCCCCCCGGGAAGGCGAGGATGCGCAGGTTCTCGTGCAGGATCGAGAAGTCGCGCCGCTTCTGGCACAGGAAGCGCAAGTGCGCCGCGTAGGGGAACTCGAAGTGGAACGCCTGCTGGCACTCGCCACAGCGCAGCAGCGGGGACGATGGGGAGACGCCTCCTGCGAACGGCGACCGCGCGCGCGCTCGTCAATGGGAGTGTCGCGAACGGCGACCGCGCGCGTGCTCATCAATGGGAGTGTCGCGAACGGCGACCGCGCGCGTGCGTGCTCGTCAATGGGAGTGTCGCGAACGGCGACCGCGCGCGTGCTCGTCAAAGGGAGTGTCGCGAACGCGCGCGCGCTCGTCAATGGGAGTGTCGCGACCGCGCGCGCGCGCGCTCGTCAATGGGAGTGTCGCGACCGCGCGCGCGCGCTCGTCAATGGGAGTGTCGCGAACGGCGACAGCGCGCGCGCGCGCTCGTCAATGGGAGTGTCGCGAACGCGCGCGCGCTCGTCATTGGAAGTGTCGCGACCGCGCGCGTGCTCGTCAATGAGAGTGTCGCGAACGACGACAGCGCGCGCGTGCTCGTCAATGGGAGTGTCGCGAAAGCGCGCGGGGTCCGTGTGTGCTCGTGTGTCGGTAGGTCACGTGTGTGTAGGCGGTCACGCGGTCCGTGCCGTGGTTCAGCGCGCCGCGCTCACAACCCGGGGCGGACCCGATTTAGATTCGCGCTCACAGCCAAAAAGGAATGTTCACGACTATTACCGGGACCCCCCCTGGATCGACTCGGCCCCAAACGAGTCGCGTATCCGCTGCGCTGTGTGAACAGCGTCACTGGAGGAACCGCCCCACGACCACCCATACTTTGTCGGCCTTCGTAGACGCTCGCTAACAGCACTTGCCTAGCTAGAGCGGGGGGAGGAGATGGGTGGCGTTCCTTCTTGAGTGGAACTGTGGAAGTCACAGCTGACGCAGTTGCGGGGCAACTCGGTCAACCCTTGACACCCGGAGGCCGTCCCGTGACCTCCCCGTAACGCAGCGAGCCTTCGATCCTTCACCGTGGCTTTAATGCGCACCTAGCCTGGCACAGGTGCTGTGGTGACGCCACTGCCAGCCAATTCAAAATCCTGTATTTTTTTTTTTGCCCATCAGAATCGTTATTTGTACTGGATGAATCCGATGAGCGATAAAGCTCTTTGTCGCAAATCTCCAGTAGGGGCAGGTCAGAAAGTTATCGGTCAATATCCGGTTGTTGGTGGTTTAGCGTCGTGCTGGCCTTACTAGGTGCTCGCTAACAGCACTTGCCCTGTCAGTCTGCAAAAGTCCACACAGGGTATCTTTGTCTTGGCGGTGTCTGTGTAACGCGTGTGTTGTGTGTCTACGTAGTAGCGTATGTTCATGTGTCCGCAGATAGTTTCTGTATACACGAATGTAATGTCTGTGTGTATTCACAGTATGTATGTGATGTGTGCATGCCTGTGTGATTGCACGTATGTGTCATGTGACGCGTGTTTTATGTTTGCATGCGTGTCGTGTTTGTCGTGTATATAATGGGCGTCTGTCTTGCGTTCTACGTATGTATGTGATGTTTGGATGCATATGTGCATGTTTGTCATGCCAGTATGTAATACATTTAATTGCTACTTTTGCCACATTAGAATGCATGTGTAATGGCGACTTGGACAAAGTTGTAATTGTACGTGTTCATCTTAATTATCATGATCTCACCCCCCTCGTGTATCGACGTGCCCAAATCAAAACTGCAAACGTATGGCATCACTTTGTTCGTCAGAAGTTCATCACTAGAGTTAAGCATCCCCCCCCACCCCCTTTGAATATGATCAATAAAGAGACGCCATATATACGTATGTATGTTGAACTTTTTTCGCACCGTACGTAGCCAACCGTGCTCATCGAAGAGTCCGGAGGAAGGACAACACAAACTAAACACAACAAGCAGATCTAAAGAAATTCGTTTTCAATCTACATGATTTAAAAGCGCATCGCTCCAGTTGGCCTCCGCATATCGGAACGAAGAACGTTCCAGACGGCCGCAGAAGCGCATCTGAAAACGCCGCCTCTGTTCGATGGCTCAGATTGGGGACAGGTTTTTTTCAGTCTTCAAATATTATGATGATGATGATGGTGATCCTGGATCCCACATAGACGCTATGCGTGAGTTTGAGCTCCATTGCTTTGTTCCTTGAGTTGCTGAGAATGGCACGTGTATGTGTGAAACCGGCCGTAGTGCTGTATAATCCGCGTGAGTTGTGACGCACACTTCATGAAGTTCTACCATGTCACCGAGAAGCGTTTAACCGTGGATGGTGCGCATGTATGGTGAACTTCTTCTTGGTTCTTTCGGTAAAGTCACGTAGAAGGGAAGTAATAAAATAATAAAAATAAAACATAATAACTTCTTTAGCACTGTACGTAGCCAACCGTGCGTGCCTCTATATAGCGCAGCATACAGACACATTTAAGTGCACGCATGCCTGCTATTACTCTATACACATATGTTTTAATTACTCTTGCAGCCATCAATTCTCAAGTGTTGCGTCGGCATAATTAACTTTACTAGCGACTGCCTGCAAATTGATTTCCCCGTACATATTGATATGACACGCACAGCATGTAGAGGAATGCACACGCGCACGAGGCATCTATAGGCTTAGTTAACTCTTATTAGTAGCTTCCTGCAAATTAATTTCCCCGCAACCCCACAAATGGTCTGCTGATGAGTACGGGAATTTTCGCACAAGCCAAAGCCTCATATAAGAATGTCTCCCAGACAACGATGTAATGCGCATACGCGTACTAACATCTCCCTGCGTAACTTCACTTCAATAGTTTTTGTTTGACCGGACCAAAGAGTCACTTGTCATTGAGTCCACCTCCTACGCATTTCCCATGAATATGCTAAATTCCTCTTCATATGCACATTATTTTTGTTAAGGCGCTCTTCCACCTCCAACCCAGCTTATATATAAGCTCCTAGCTTGGTAGTGTCTCATTCTTCACCTGAAGACGGCTGCTTGCGTTGTAGCCGAAACATCGTGAGAATTATTTTATTTTATTATGTTTTATTTTTATTATTTTATTACTTCCCTTCTACGTGACTTTACCGAAAGAACCAAGAAGATGAGTCCATCATACTTCGTAAGAGAGACGGCATCTCGAAGGACAGTTGTATCCGTTGATCCTTTTAAAAGATTGTTAATGAGAAATATGTCGAGGGATTTTTATTTTCTGTCTATTTGACGGCGGACAGCGCATTCCGAAAACAGCTTTGCAATTTACACTATGAGACCTCCTTTACCAGTGGCAAAATATAGTAATAGGTTTTTACCCTTTCAACTGGTACGGTCAGTTTTTGTACCAGTTGAAAGGGGAAAAACATATTACTAGCTTCGCAATTGGTACCGGGAACAAAACATTTTACGGTTACTACTGGATAGCTCCAGCAATACGTGTACTGCGTACACTTGATGCACACACACATTTAAAAACACAATCGCTGTTTCGCCATGCAGACTGTGTTCGACAAGCGCTGTTAGCGAGGATCTGTGTCTCGGCTGAAAGAGGTGATCAGTGAGTTGACCTCGGGGCAGGCTCATGACCGGTCCGACTATGACTCGTCGCCAATAATAGCGTGACCTGGAATCTAGAATCAGAATGTTTAGTTACACTGGATGCATCCGATGAGCGATAAAGCATTTTTTTCACAGATATACAGTAGACATCTATGGAAATCCAACTCAGGCTTCCGAGTTTCTTGCGTAGTGTGCAAACCACTGCGCCACCACTCCACCCATGTATATAAAAAAAAAACACACAAACACTGCTGCTGGCAAGTTCTGCTAACGAGCACCTACGAAGGCCGGCACACACGAGAGAGGGTGTTGTAGGTGACCAGCACCACGCCCAGACGCATCTGTCTCTCTCGTGGCGATGCTTACACCTGAGTCGACCTAGAGGGAGCCCGGGACCACTTCGAACATTCGCCAGCGCCGTGAGCGAGAATCAGATTCGTAGCGCGCGCGGGGAGCGCCGACCACTGCACCACCGCTCCCCCCCGTAAAACACGCGCGCGCACGCACGAGCAACCGAACCAAAACGCAACATTTGTGCCCCCACCCATCCCTCCCTCCCCCACCGTTGGCGGCCTTGTGCGGAACTGTGTCGTCGAGTCGCAGCAGGGCGGCCAGCTCCCTGCCGTACCACACCAGCAGCTCCTCGTCGCGCGAGATCTTGCGCAGCGAGCGGTAGAAGAGCTGCCCGTTCTTGAGGTAGGCCTCGAGATTCTGCTCGGCGCGGTCCCTCGCCGGTTGCACCAGACGCAGCCACGCGACGCCGTCCGCCGCGCCCTGGGACGCGGTGGTGTCCACCTGTGGCAAACCCGCGTGGGGGTGGAGGAGAGAGGGGACGGGTGAGTGGGTGGGAGAGTGGTTGCGTTTGCGGTTGCAGATTTTCTTAGGTTTTTTCGGTAAAGTCGCGTAGGGGGAAAATAAATAGATAATAAAATTTATAATAACACTGGTCAACAAAAAAAAGTTTTTTTTCTGGCCTGGACTTTTGCAGCTGTTTTAGACTCATTTCAGGGTGCTGATTCCAAATCTGATCTCAGATTTGCTCTATCACATCTCATTTTTATGCTATCGGCATACCCCATTTTCATTGATTTTACCCGAAATTAACTCTGTCACTTATGATTGCAAGTTGTTGCGAGTCAGTGACTGCTTTAGTGTTAAACTATGGTGCTGTATTTTTAGGATAGTGTGTTTATAATATCATTGTATGTAGATATCCACATTTATTGAATATTTTTCTTCTGCAGTTTTTATTGAAAATGCAATATTTGATATCTCAAAAACCTGATGTGATAGACAAAAACTGATGCCAGATTTGGAATCTGCACCCCAAAATTACATTAAAACCATTGGAATACCTTATGCCAGAAAACGTGTGTTGACCAGTGTAATTATTGAAATAATAATAGAAATAAAATAATAAATCACGACGTTTCGGAGGCAACACAAGTCTCTGTCATCAGGTGGGACCGTCACAGCCAGATTTACTGTATCAAAGGGTTATCTATTTATTTATTTATTTATTTTCCCCCTACGTGACTTTACCGAAAAAACCTAAGAGTATGAATCCTTGCAGTCACGAAAGCTTCAAATCTAGAAGAAGAAAAAAAGTTGCAGATGTTGACCGCGGCATCTATAAACGCTTGCCCGCCGCTATCGGGGCTGTTGTCCACTGACGCGGTCTGTTGATTTTATCGACGAGTCGGAAGATGCAGCCTTCACACTGGCCCCACTCTGTTCGGTGAGAATTCACGGACGAATGCCATCGACGCGGCGACCGAACATCGACCACCGATCTCCCGGTCTCCAGAGGAACAACAACAACAACAAGCCACGCCAACGGGCGCGCTTAATCGATATGTTTATCATCACGGCCGAAGTAGCTGATGCCACCACACCTCGCAAATGTTTTATGTCACCCGCTGCCAGGTCACCGTGGTCGCTGCGAGGTTGATACGGAGCGACCTCCCGACATCTGCCCTCGTGGTCTCCCACCGTCTGCACTAAGGTCTTCCCGTTGCTTGCCAGACTCGTGGAGACCGCCCCAATGACCGTGGCGGTCCTCGGTTCCTCTCCCATCCGCCACGTGTGTCCTAACCCAGCGCGAGCTGTACTTCCCGAATCATATCGGCACCACGCGTACCTGTACCAAGTTCGCTTCTGGACGTCTGCATTGCACCCGTGCTCGAATTGCAATAACTTATGTTCTTGCTGATGAATCCGAAGCCCAACTCTCTGACCCACCCGAATACATTTTTTTTTTTTACATTTATTTCCAGGTAAGGCTCAACGAACTGTGTAGCTCTTTTTCAAAAGCGACCTGGCCACAAATGATAGCTCAACGAAGTGGCTTATCACGTGGAATTGTATAGCAGCCAAATACTCTAAACGCGTGATGTTGATCCTAAATGTGGAGGCAAAAACCGGTGGACCCGGAGAAAAATCGACGCGACCACCACGGGGAGAACATTCAAACACCGAATACACAGAAGCCAGAGTAGGGGTCGAACCCACGCCCTCCTGTATACCAGGCGAGGTAGTTAACATCTCGCCACGGGGGCTCCCTCTGCTAACGAGCATTGAGCGACTCGAGGCGGGAACGGTGCCACGCGGCCGTGATCCGTTTAGCAATTTTCAAAGCCGATTATGCTGCGGATGTGTTTGCCAGGAAGGAGAGCAAGTAGGTTCGTGAGCCCGTGTGGTGTAGCAGAGCTTTCATTGTCATTTACTTGATTACAGCAAGCGTGATGTGACGGTTCCACCTGAAGACGGAAGCTTGTGTTGCCTCCGAAACGTCGTGATTTTTTATTTATTTTTATTTTACTTTTATTAATTTAGATTTTTTTTTATCTACGTGACTTTACCGAAAAAACCTAAGAATAGGAATACTTGCAGTCACGAAAGCTTCAAATCTAGAATTAAGACCTGGTCTTCGCCTGAGGATGGCTGCTTGCGTTGTGGCCGAAACGTCGTGAGAGTTATTTTATTATGTTTTGTTTTTATTTTTTATTATTTTATTATTTCCCTTCTACGTGACTTTACCGAAAGAACCAAGAAGATGAATCCCTGCAGTCACGAAAGCTTTAAATCAAAATTTAGCTTTCAGTGTCTTCCCCCGAGTGAGCGTGAGTGGAGCTCGTTCCAGGATCTCTCCGTGTTTGTCCCACCCGAAGGGAAATGCAATTTCTCACGGCAGGACAACTCCTGGATATACCAGACCTGGAAAAATAGAATAAATTCCTATCATTGCTATTTATTAATTAAGATATAACGTCACTCTAATAATACACCTTTACTGATTATCATTATTATTATTAAAAGCCATAAAGCTGCTACAAGAATATGTGCGGTTGAGGATGTTAGATGTTAAATATTGACCTTGCAGTTCCGCCTGCCGACAGCCGCATCATTTGTATTGCTCTTTCAACGAATATGAGTGTTAAACTAACTTACTCTTATCAGCATGTCACGGTTGTTAATTAATAGCAGAACGTGTGCGTGCGCTCGTGAGAATAACGGTTCGCTATAGCCGCAGAGGGAGCGGTGGTGCAGCGGTTAGCCCGAACCTGGCCACCAGGGTTCGATTACTGCTCACGGCCAACACCAGTGACGACTATCTGAACCGGTCCTGGGCCTTCCCTAGGTCGACCCATTCTACAATGAGCACCTGATGTGGCGTGTAAACATCGCGCCACTTGGGAAACAAAAGCGGCCGGGCGCGGTGCTGACCACCCACCCTCTCGTGTGCCGTGCCGGCCTCCATAGGTGCAGCTCGCGAACAGCACTTGCCCCAACAGCCTGTTCAGGCTATACGGGGGACCTTTGTCTTTGCTACAGCCGGCAATTCATCTACTATTGCGGAACTTTTATGACCCTAACCCTGACCCTAAACCATAACCCCTGAGCGCCAACGCGATCATCTGGACCCACGGCGTGGCGGTAAATCTCGCTGTTGTGCAGCGGAGTGCAAAGACGAGAGTCGGATGAAAACAAGGGGGGGGGGGGCTGCGTGTCGAGTCGTCTCGAATCGCATCTTTCGCATTTGCCCAGAGACTCGGCGAGCAAGCGAGCGAGCAGCCTCACGTCGCTGCCACGTACGACGCCGGCAATAGGATCCGTGTGCCCGTCTGTGTGCGGCCACTCGTATTCGCAGGAAGTGCGTTGAACTTCTGTCGCGAACGCACGCAGCCAACACCGCTCTCCTCGTCGAAGGTGCGGGGGAAGGACGGCAAACTAAAACACAAAAACGCAGTCCCAAAGAAATTAGTTTTCAATCGAGAGCTAAAAGTGCGTAGCTCCCAGTGGCTTCTTAATATGCGGAGGAAGAGCGTTCCAGACGGCCGCAGAAGCGCATCTTGAAAGCGCTGCGCGGGGCGGTGACCACCGCCTTTGTTCAATGGACAGCCAAAAGCCGCCACCGCCGCTGCTGCTGCTGAGAGGATGAGCGGAGAGTCGTGTTCGGATGACACGCGGGGCACATGCCAATTCTTCCTTTCACACGTGGGGAATGACAAAAGTCCACCAGATTGTGAACGTGGTGAAGTGCGATCCGCGCTTCGAACGCTGCGGGCACGCGAACTAACTCCTGGTGCCATAAAATGGGTTGCCCAAACTCAACGTGAAGTAGCGATTGTTGTTGTTGTAATTGGCCCTGTTCACGCCGTGAGAAAGCGAGAGCAACGGAGTGGCCGAAACTGAAGAGTCCCCGTCAGAATGTCCACCGAGAGACCCTCAAGCTCCATGGCGAGAGTGAAATTATTTCTCAAGCGTCAAACTTGGAAACCCAATCGTTTGTTGGGGCGCGCTGACGGTGTTCGCTGCACTTTAACCGGAGGGTCACGGAAACATCCCCCACGGGGGATAAAGTGGATTTCGTTATTCGCATAACGGGGTGCCTGCCGAAATCACACACACACACAAACACGCACAATAACACACACACAATCACACACACACAATCACACACACACACAATCACACACACACACAGACAATCACACACACAATCACACACACAATCACACACACACAATCACACACACAATCACACACACACAGACACAAATAAACACACGCATACACACACAAAACTCACACAAACACACACAATCACACAAACACACACACAAACACACACAAACACAAGTAAACACACACATAAACACACACACAATCACACACATAAACACACACACAATCACACACAAACACACACACAGGTCTTCAGTTCCTGAAGAAGCTCCCGGCAGCACGTGGAGCGAAACGTCAGACATGATGCCGAACCACACGCGGGCACAAACCCCGAAAGCACACCGGAGAGCCTACGACAAGGGGTAGTTTAAAGACGTGCACGCGTCTAGATGTGTTACCCATGACCTGTTGGCCAATAGAACATTGATAATGACTGCCACCACCACCACCATCATCACCATCACCACCACCATCATCACCTCCACCACCACCATCATCACCACCACCACCATCACGACCACCACCATCACCACCACCATCATCACCACCACCATCATCACCACCACCACCACCACCACCATCACCATCACCACCAACACCATCACCACCACCACCATCACCACCATCATCATCATCACCACCACCACCATCACTATCACCACCACCATCATCACCACCACCACGACCACCATCATCATCACCACCATGGTTCCGACACTCAAGCAAAAACCCTCGCGAGATCAAGCTCAAGCGCATTCTCTCGATGGAAGAGAGCGGAGGCGTTATCGCATGAAATCGTTACAAGGGATGTGATGAATCAACGCGCTCGCAGCCCTCTGGGAGCGGGGAGGGGGGTAGGGTAAGAAGCGACGTGGCAGGAGCGTCGCACGCTTAATCACGCCGATTGATTGATCAGGACGCGTGACAATGCGGACGGTTATACACCTCGCCAGGTGTAATTCGTTAAAACAACACACATATATACACATAGCAACATTCTGTCTTAGTATGTATACAACAGGTTGGGACGTCAACTTCGTGCGCAAACGAAATTTGGAAGGAAGTGTCGGGCGGTGACGTCAGTCGTTAAATAACTCGTCGTTCGGCATCATCCTCCGGTGATGACACGCAACCTGTTCACGATTTACTCCATTGCGTGGAGGATGCAGAAGAACACCCGTTTCTGCACCGCGCGCATTCCGTAACAACCCTTGACACCATGAACGAATTCAGTTTTAAGAACGTACAACACGTGCGTACAACACGTGTTGTAAACACGGATCTGAGAGCGAGGTTTTCATTCAAATGAAAGTCAACAAAACCCTAATGCGAGGATCGTTTCAAAGTCTGTGCTTTCTTGAGCAGCTCTTAACCCCCCTCGCTATGAATACGTTGCAATGACGATGATCTATGAGATAACGGGAATAGGCGCACGTGCCTGCAGTTATGCTCCTTATTGAACAAGGAAAGGGAAAAGCCAGGCATGAGCACGGACAATGTAAATCTATTCCAGCATGCATTTGCCTTCGGAAGTATTACATTATCAGTGCAAAAGCCGACGGAGTAGCTTTAATTCGAGCTGATATATTTTGTATGGTTTATGCCTCCGGGTTTACGCTCGGGTAAGATCGTAATAACAACGCAACTTTACACGCGAGGTTCGCTCATATTGGGATCATCACGAGGCAGAACAATTCGTCGTAACTCCGCCCTTCCGACGGCCAACACCACAGCACCAACAAGTTCAACCTCAGTCATGACGCGTTGAATAAAAACACAATTCCAGAACTTCGTAAGGCACCGGCCTACAAAGGCAGAGATCCCCATATAGCCCACGCGTGATGTTGGGGCAAGTGCTGTCAGCGAGCAGCACCTATGAAGGCCGGAACACGGCGTATAAAGGGGGGGGGTCGTGTAGCCAGAACCACGCACGGCCGCTTTTGTCTCCCCAGTGCTCATGTTTTACACACTGCACCGGATACTTATTTTGAGGCTGAGCCGACCTAGGCGGAGGGCCCAAGGACCGCTACAAGACAATTTGGAAGGAAGTGTCGGGCGGTGACGTCAGTCGTTAAATAACTCGTTGTTCGGTATCATCTTCTGTCGATAGCTTAGACGCGCTCCGGTGATGACACGCAATCGAACTCGGGTCTCCGGGCGTCGTAGCGCAGCGCGCTCACCGCTCCACCACCGCTCCCGCTCACCGTACGATTGCAAACATCTCCCCCAACATTCTAGATTTGAAGCTTTCGTGACTGCAAGGATTCATATTCTTAGGTTTTTTCGGTAAAGTCACGTAGGCGAAACATTAAAAAAGTAAAATAAAATAAAAATCACGACGTTTCGGAGGCAACACAAGCTTCCGTCTTCAGGTGGGACCGTCACAGCCACGACAGCTGTATCAAGTACTTGATACAGCTGTCGTGGCTGTGACGGTCCCACCTGTTTTACCTACGTGACTTTACCGAAAAAACCTAAGAATATCTCCCCCTACAGCCTCTCACTGGTTGTAGGGCCAAGCGCTCTTAGCGAGACCCTATGGAGCACCTATACAGGTACTGAACGCGCTCGCACCGCACCCACGCGCACGTTGAGCAGCAGCAGCAGCAGACGTCTCCGCCTTACCCTGAATACGTAGGGCGCGGTGCGCTTGTCCACGGCCTTGAGCGCGATGAAGGCGATGGTGTCGATGAAGGATGCGCTGGACAGGAGGCAGGGCCCCAGGATGGCGTGCTCGGGCACGTCACACGTGGTGAACACGCTCGTGAAGATGTCCGCGAGGCGCTGCTGGACGGCGCGGACGTCGTCGTCCCACGGACCCTTCACCACCATGCCCGCCGCCTCCACGTCCATCTCAGACTGCGCGCGGGGTGGAAATGGGAAAAAACGACAGTTTCGTTTTTATTATGTATATATGTGTTTGCGCGTGCGTGTGGTTTTTTTTTCACTAGTGATTTGTTTACACTTTCCTATACTTTGCGCTCATATCGTGGTTTCGTTGTTGTTGTTGCTTTTCGGTTCTTTCGGTAAAGTCACGTAGGAAGAAAAATAATAATTTATTAGCTAATTATAAAATTAATTAATTATTTGTTAATTATTTTTCACGTAGGTAGAAAATAATTATTTATGAATTAATTATTTTCCTACCTACGTGACTTTACCAAAAGAACCAAAGAGTATAGATTCCTGCGGTCACAAAGCTTCAAATCACAGATCTATTGTTGTTGTTGTAACGTTCTGATGTCCCGACTGGACATCCGTGAAGACGAGCTTAATAGCTCATCGCATTCCTCCAAGTAGAAATAAATAATATCGTGATTCTGGTGAAGACAACGACCACCCCCCCCCCCCCACGACCCCACGTAGCCTGTAGGGCAGAGTTCGACAACCTGCCGCTCTCTAATGACTCCTGCGTGACGCTGTTGACGAAGGATCGCCGTCTCTCCTACCCACCACGCGGATTCGCGACTCTTGCAATATTTACGGGAAGTTTGTTTTATAATATAGATACAGAATTCTCAAAAAAATCTCCCTTCTTGTTATTTTGATTGCCCATCCCTGCTGTTAGTGGGGAGAGTGCTGTTAGCGAGCACCTATTAAGGTCGGTGTGGGGGCCATGCACGCGCACGCACAGAGTTACGTGAACGCCGCTTGCCAGCCGACGAATTCGCGGTCCGCCGTTGAGCCGGATTTCGTTACGGTGGCGCATTTACCTCTGAACATGTGCACACAACCGCAGTATATATATAGATAGATACGCTGGTGTATCGATATATGTAAAGACATTCATGGGTATCACCATTCATCAACACGCACTGACCAGCGAGGTATGGGCAAGCTACCCCATGCGACCTACACGGCTGGATTGAAAAACAGTGCCAACTTATTCTTCTTATTGGAATAAAGTGAGCCGGTGATTCTTGTTGTAGGCGAGTATCTGTTAAGATGACACATTCCATAGTGGTCACTCAGCTCCTACCTCCCCTCCCCGCGAGTGAAAAGATTGCCCATTGATATTGACCCGGTTGCAAATTCACGTGAACTTCGCTGCCAAGCCCGCGGTGGCAGGCGCGCAAGAGATTAGGGCCCTAATGTTCATGAACGTCGCCGTGAACAGTTCCAAACACAAACGCGTGGACACTTCGAGTCTCATATCAGCCGTGCAATATATCCACACGCACACACACACAAGCGCGCACACACGCACACATACATACACGCGCACACATACATACACGCGCGCACACGCACATACGCGCAAATCACAAAACCCTAAGCAAAGCATACGTTCGACACCGATGTGTTCACCGATTTAAAGACACATTTGCAGGCCATTGAAAGAAAACAAATCGCTTTTTTATTACTGAAATAGTTTAGTTATTGAGCCCACAAAGTGTTGAAAGGTGTGTTTATATCTGAAGCATATCTCTTTTTTTGGAAGACGCGTTTCGAGTGTTCGGTTGTGGAGGAAAAAGGCGTCTTCATTTTCACAGCGGGACATAAAACCGTGTCAGCGTGTTATATACGAGGCATGACACGTCACTTAATCAGATCCTGCGAGACATCTCACTGAAGACATCTCTCCTGCAAGACTTCTCACTTAAGTTCCGATAGATAGCGAGGATTTGAATCATTGGTGTCAACGCCGTTGAGGAATGGTGTTTATGTATTATTATTATTTTATTTTCATCTATATATCCATTTTTATTTGCATGCCCGGAATAAAATTTAAATAATATTCTATTAAATCTATCATCGAGATATTATCTCTCTCCTTGTTTTTTGTTTTTACACAGGCCAAAAACAACGCGTTCTTAAGAGAATGACGGCGTGTGTGAGTTTACGTGAGCTTCCTTCAGCCGCCAACTGTCACCAACCGCGCACGTGGTTTCTTTTTGTATCGTTCGCGATTGGGTAACGCCTGACGTCTCCATGGCAAGAGTTTCGATTTAAAGCTTTCGTGACTGCAGGGATTCATCGTCTTGGTTCTTTCGGTAAAGTCATCACGTAGAAGGGAAATAATAAAATAATACAAATAAAACATAATAAAATACAATTCTCACGACGTTTCGGCCACAACGCAAGCAGGACGGCTGCTTGCGTTGTGGCTGAAACGTCGTGATAATTGTATTTTATTATGTTTTATTTTTATTATTTTATTATTTCCCTTCTACGTGATGACTTTACCGAAAGAACCAAGAGCATGGCAAGAGTGTTTGAGCCTCAAGGAGCAGATGATTGAGTCCCCGCAGGAATGTTCTTGCGGCGCAGTGGCGAGCGCGCGGCATTCTCGAACTTGCGACTCGAGTTCGATCCCTGGCCACGGCTAACATCAGTGGCGAGTGATGATGTTAACCGGCACTGACCACCCTCCCCCCCCTCTATCCGCGTCCATCTTCAACAAAGCTGCACTGAATCGTGTCGTCAAATATGTTCTTTTTTTACACCTCCATTTAGCGACACGGCATGGAGAGGCCTACATCCAGCAGTGGATTGACAAAGGTCTGAAGATTTTTTTTTTACATTCAATCTCCATCTGTGTCGGCCAAAAAAGCGCAATTTTGTGCTCATTAATTCACGTAAGTTATTTGATGACGCTCCTGCGTTGGCAGTGGTGCACAAGCACATTTACAACACTGCCTTGCAAGAATATATATAAACCATCGGCGACGTTTCGGGCAATAGCCCTTCTTCGTGGCAAATTATGTGCCACGATGTGCAATGAAGAAGGGCCATCGCCCCTCCCTAAAAAAAACGTCGCCGATGATAGATTTTCTTTCCCTTTTCAAAGCAGGGTCGTTGACGAGCGTTCGTGGGTTTCGTCTTCGATCCATTCGCTCACGATGTGGGATCCGCACGCCAAGAATTCTGAGTATGCGACTTGAGGTGAGCCTCTCTACAACACATTGCCGCTGATGCGCTGGGAGAGAAACACTCTCTCCGTCGAATATCTCTTGCCGTTATTCTTTTTACTTTAATTTTTTATATATACAGAAATTGCAACAATATTATCCGCATTCCCCCTTCCCCCCCGCCATGACCCACCGGTTCGTAATAAACAAAAATATCCCCGCGTTGTTAACACGCGGCTGTCGGCCAGGTCACGTTCCGAATTGTTGTTTTGGTGGTTATGGTTGTTATTGTTGCTGCTGCTGCTGTTGTTTTACGACGATCAGCAGTTCGATAATCACGACCTCGCTTCGCTCATTGCAACTCGTCGCTTGACTGCGTCGGAGTTCGCGACTCGCTGTGTATTTAACAGAGTGCAGCGCGCTTACGTGACGCTCGATCACTTACGTGACACGCGAACGTAATTCGCAACGGTACGTATATACGTACGTACACCGCGAGAAAGAGCTGATCGATACAAACATACAATCCTACAACGTGCACGTGCTGTATGTGCGGCTTAACATTGCATTGGGTGCGGTGGAGGGCTGGCACGGCGGTTAACGTGCTACGCAATGAAACCCCCCCGTGGATCTACGTTAGATTCCCGGCCTGGGCCACCGTGACCAACGAGTGACATCTGAACCGCCTCCACGTCCTTCTGTCCCCCCCCCCCCTCCTTCACCAACCCCCACTGACCAGCGTGCTGAAGTATGTGCATTGTCATTGCAATGCGTCGTTGCGTGTGGTTCAGTTGTGTCGTTCGTGTCACGACACTGCGACCTGTGGTGTTGCAGGAAGGATGTGGCACAGAGAGACGTGTCTGTGTGTGTGTGTGTAAGTGTGCAGGAGATGTGTGTGTGTGTAAGTGAGGTGTGTGTGTGTGTAAGTGTGTAGGAGAGATGTGTGTGTAAGTGTGTAGGAGGGACGTGTGTGTGTGTAAGTGTGCAGGAGATGTGTGTGTGTAAGTGTAAGTGTGCAGGAGAGATGTGTGTGTCAGTGTGTGTAAGTGTGTGTAAGTGTTCAGGGGGACGTGTGTGTGTAAGTGTGGAGGAGAGATGTGTGTGTGTGTGTAAGAGTGCAGGATAGATGTATGTGTGTGTAAGTGTGCAGGAGATGTGTGTGTAAGTGTGCAGGAGGTGTGTGTGTGTAAGTGTGCAAGAGATGTGTGTGTGTGTGCAAGAGAGATTGTGTGTGTGTAAGTGTGCCAGAGATGTGTGTGTGTGTGTAAGTGTGCAGGAGGTGTGTGTGTGTGTAAGTGTGCAGGAGGTGTGTGTGTGTGTAAGTGCGCAGGAGGTGTGTGTGTGTAAGTGTGTAGGAGGTGTGTGTGTGTGTAAGTGTGCAGGAGATGTGTGTGTAAGTCTGATGACCCAACTTGATCCATCCGCCTTGACTCATTCCAATTAACTCGCCTCTATTATAGACGAGCCACATTCATCCCGGATGAACCGTCCTTAAAAAGTACGGTTATGGGTACAAGAAGCCAGTAAAGACGGCGAATTAGGTGCGTAAGGCAGTTTGAACTCGTGTATGTTACTGGGGAGGAGTATACGATGTAAAGTTCTTGAGTAAATATCATGGACAGAGCTGAATACAAGAAGGATCACATCGCCGACGTCTTAAATAAATGAAATGTTGAAAGAACGTTCGAGAGATAGAGAGAGGGGACAGAAAACCCGATTGACCTAAGTTATTCACGTACATCAGAACGGTGAATTAAAACGATCTGCAATTCGTGAAGCGTTTAACATTTAAAGAAAGCACACACACACATTGCGTTCACGATGAACGCAATGTTTTAGCGTCTGTAGCCGAGCATATGAACGAGCGTGGAAATAGATTAAATAGAAAACTAGATCGCGTCTCAAAACAAAATCCAACAATGCGCATGGAGTGATCCGCGTATCGACGAACACGGCATATTTTTTAAATAAATAAATATACATTTATAACGCGATGCGCTGAACAAAATTGCACTGTAACAAAGACACGGATCCCCCCCCCCCCCCCCGTATAGCCTCAACACACTGTTGGGGCAAGTGCTGTTTGCGACCACCTATGAAGGCCGGGGTGGGATGGCCAGCACCACGCCCGGCCGCCTTTGTCTCCCGAGTGGCGGTGTTCACACACCGCACCAGCTAACCCACTTGAGGCTGAGTCGACCTAGGCGAGGCCCAGGAACCGGTTTCAAATAATCGTCACCGGTGTCGGCCGTGAGCGGGAATCCAACTCGGAAAACCGCCGGGTTCGTAGCGGCAGTTAAGCGCTAACCGCTGCGCCACCGCTCCCCGGCGTAACGCATCCCACCCACCACCCAAACACTCGCTCGCACGTGCGGCCCGACCCGTGCGAGCCTCTGTGCCTCTGCGTGTATGTGTGTCCGTCTGTTCAGCCGCTGTTTCCCCGTTACACACAGAAGCGTATGCCGTCCGCCGCCACCGCATCTCATTTACATATTTACGCATTTCCCACCGAGACTGTAATTAAAAGCGGTGCCTGCGTTTAATTAGTTTTAATCCGATAGTCGTTACGCAAATGATGCCGGGGAGCTAAAACTCGGAGCGCCGTCCTCGGCCTTACACAGCAGAGGTTAGCGCGCGCGTGCCGGTAGAAGTGTGATGGTAGGAGTGTGATGGTAGGAGTGTGATGGTAGGAGAGTGATGGTAGGAGTGTGGTGATAGGAGTGTGATGGTAGGAGTGTGATGGTAGGAGTGTGATGGTAGGAGTGTGATGGTAGGAGTGTGGTGGTAGGAGAGTGATGGTAGGAGTGTGGTGGTAGGAGAGTGATGATAGGAGTGTGATGGTAGGAGTGTGGTGGTAGGAGTGTGATGGTAGGAGTGTGGTGGTAGGAGAGTGATGGTAGGAGTGTGATGGTAGGAGTGTGATGGTAGGAGAGTGATGGTAGGAGTGTGGTGGTAGGAGAGTGATGGTAGGAGTGTGATGGTAGGAGTGTGATGGTAGGAGTGTGGTGATAGGAGTGTGATGGTAGGAGTGTGGTGATAGGAGTGTGATGGTAGGAGTGTGATGGTAGGAGTGTGATGGTAGGAGTGTGATGGTAGGAGTGTGTCCTGTAGGAGTGTGATGGTAGGAGTGTGATGGTAGGAGTGTGTCCTGTAGGAGTGTGATGGTAGGAGTGTGTCTGTAGGAGTGTGATGGTAGGAGTGTGATGGTAGGAGTGTGATGGTAGGAGTGTGGTGATAGGAGTGTGATGGTAGGAGTGTGATGGTAGGAGTGTGATGGTAAGAGTGTGATGGTAGGAGTGTGATGGTAGGAGTGTGATGGTAGGAGCGGGAGTGTGATGGGGAGCGGTGGTGCAGTGGTTAGCGCTACGCTGCGCTACGAAGCCGGCGGCCCCGAGTTCGATTCGCGCTCACGGCCACGTGCACCATCAGAGACGATTATCTGAACCGGTCCCGGGCCTCTCCTAGGTCGACTCGGCCTCAAATTAGCACCTTGTGCGGTGTATAGTAAACATCGCCACTGGGGAGACAAAGGCGGCCGGGCGTGGTGCTGGCCACCGCCTCGTGTGCCGTGCCAGCCTTCACATGCGCTCGCTAACACCACTTGTCCCAACAGTCTGTTAAGGCTATACGGGGGATCTCTATATCTGTCTTAGTGTGAAACAGATCGGCATAAATAGCTGCTTCTGCTACTACTGCTACAATCGCCTGCGTGAAATGAATCGACTCATGCTCATGAACGCATTCGCTCGCGTTCGTGAATGCGCTACAATCTTCGGCTGCTAAACGAGCGCACATTCACTGATTCCGCACATCTATATTGTCAATACACACACACACACACGCGTGATATGTACATACCTGATGAAGTACGGTCGTATGTACGTTTAGATTCATTTGGAAAATATTCTCTGGCCGTTGTGTGACAACCATCCGTTACATTATCCGTTGCGCGTTAGGGGACCTCCTTTAACGCATTAGAAACCTCCGATACTTTGTTTTTAAAGTGATGGCTCAATATAAAACAAGTCACTTTTTTACATATATGTATGTGGATAAAAATATAAAACGCGTGCAAATAAGGTCCGCCGCGTCTGCGTTGAATCATTCGCTTTTACGCGGCCGCAGTACGTGCCTGGATGTTCTTTTTTGTGTTCACACACACACACAAACACATCCCATGAGCCAGTGTGAGGAGCGCAGATGGGTCTCAAAACCGGCGCATACATTAAAAGTGCGTATAAATAACCCAGCAAAGCCGCAGCATTCATTAAACAACGCAACGAGTCGTCCTCATGCATGACGTGCACCACACACACACGCACCATTGTAGTTGATCCTGTAAATGAACTGCTACTAATCGGCACGACGTCAAAACTGCCGCTTGTAAATTAACGCGTTAGCGTCTTCACGGGGCTTTACAATTTGCGCGTTTGGGGGCATTTGCAGACACTTCTACAAAGTGATACTGCTGCCGCTGCTGCTGCTTATCTTACTGCTGTTGCTGCTGCTGTTGATGTTGCTGCTGCTGCTGTTGATGTTGCTGCTGCTGCTATTGCTGTGATGCTGACGGCGAGGTGGGTGGCATGTGTGCTACGATCACGGCTGCTGTGTGGCACATTGCTCATAAACACTCTCTCGGCCCGACAGCAAGCGGCGACAGATGCCCGCTCTCCCCTGCTCCTCGCATATTGTCCGCCGCGCATCTGGCGCGCTCAAGTAAAAGTGATCGGAGCGAAGAATGACCATGATTATTTTTTTTAAAGGACAGCGGTTGGGTGATGGTCAAGGCGTTGGAGGATTGGTGGAACGGTGGGGGGGGGGGGGGTACGGTGTGAAGTCGGGAAGAGGACACACGCACACGCACACGAACGTGTTCAAAGCCAATTAGTGAAAGTGCCAGAAACGCATTGCTAATGCTGCGCCGACAGCCGCGCGCGTTCGTCAGCTTCGCGAAAAGAGGTGGGGGGGGGGGGGGAGGCTGTCGTTCGGACGAGTTCCAGACGTTCGAGTCAGTCGATGTTAACGGAGCAGCGCCCAAGTCATCGTCGAGCAAATGCAACGCGCGTGGGTTGCGCGCGCGCGGGAGTCCGATTTCGATTTCGCACCGTGGCCAACGTCACTCCGCCACGCGGACGCGTCAGTGGCGTCGATTGGTAACGGTGAGCGCGAAGATTCGTGCCGAGTCCTGAACGCGTCTCTGGAATGGATCGCATCTCTTATTAAGAGCGGCGCACGGTCAATGTCTTGTCTGTTAAACTAGAAACCGCCGCTGTCCCGTCAAGTCTGACTACAATTGAACGGAGGTGGGGTGTGGGGTTTGGGGGGCGATTTCATTTTCGAAAAAACGGTGACACTTTTCCGCTTTGAATTATAACGGGCGGCTGTCGATTAAGACTCACAGACTCGCGTGCGCACATGAAAAGTATTCCGCTTTTGTAGAAACCCCGAGTTGCGCACGCACGAGAAAGAAAGGAGAGAGAGAGGACGCGGATGGAAATCGTTTCAACTCTCAGCCGCTCATCATCGCGGGGGGGGGGGGGGAGCACGTGGCGGCGGCACCGCACATGCACGAGACGACAACGCCGACCACCTCGAGCGCCACTCAAACAAAGTGCGCCCAGACGCGTGGCAGTGTCGGTGAGCAACGCAGCACCTCGGCACGGCAGCGGCAGCCGCTGCTGCGCTCTTGCTAGAAGATCGTAACGGAGGGCACCGGGGCGAGATGATGAACACAAAACCCCAGCGTATGTCTCTCACCTTTGGACATGAGTCGCGCCGAGTGCGTGAAGGAGGTCGAGGAGGAAGGGAAGGAGGAGGCGGAGGATGAGGAGGAGGAGGAGGAGACGCAGGCGACGATGTCAGAGCGTAAAAGCCAGGGAGGAGGACGGCCGAGGGAGAGGACGGGGCAGGTGTAATCACATCGGCAGGCGGAGAGCGACGACTAATAAAGGTGCGTGAGTGGCGGCGGGCGTGGAGCCTCTCTCTGCGTGCATCCCTGAGCTCGCAACGCCGCGTGCGCACGGGGGGTACCACTCTCCGCCTCCTCCTTCCCCCCCCAGACCACCCTCCCCCCCCCCCGTAGGCCACCCCCAGCCCAATCAGCTTTCGCCTACCACGTAGGCACGACCGAGCGCGCGTTGTGACGGCGCGTGCCATTGGCTGGGGCGTTATCTATTTAATTCACTGATTCCCCCCCTCCCTAATACCCTGCATCGTGAATGCATGAGAAATGAGGACGCAATCGCTGCGAACCCGCGCTCTGATCACGACGGCTTGTCAATGCGTAAATGCGTAAATGCGTAGAGTTGTCAAGTCACGCGAATCGCGTCTCAATGCACAGCTGCCTCGCTTGTAAGGGAGTGTGGAGGCGTTGGATTGCGTTTGCACTCTCGATGCCTGCTGGCTTTAAACTTTAGATCTGTGGCTTAGTTAGATCAGCGCTAGCGACATTGACCGACGAGTTTGTCCAAATGCGGCGTGAACTTTGTTCCTCCCTGTGCTTTGGCTTGGTAGTGTGAGTCAGTTTGCTTTCACGACCCAATACGCCCGTGCGAGCGCGCGGCGCGGTTTTTTCTTCTTTTATTATTATTGAAATGACGCCGATGAATCTGCACTGTAATTTACTGCTTTACGCCAAAGGGAAAAAGAAAAAAGCAACAACGCGATCGAAAATCCAACTCACACATCCCGCGTTACTAAGCGCAGACAACTACTACGACTGCGCAAAAGCGCGTCAAGATCGTACGCAAACGTCCGTGCGCGTGTCCGTGTTTGTGTAAAAAAATCCAATAGCAATTTTAATGATTGCTCTCCAGCGCAAAATTATCACAAGGTAGGTGATTTGTGACGCCGGAGATGATAGGTTGCGCGATGTCGCAGAGGTTTTTTTAATGCGTAATTTGCGCACGCGGACTCGCACGGACGATGCGAACCCCGACGTCGAAAAACAAACAAAAAATAGATAATCGGCAGCTGCACTCTGTGAAGATGCCTCAAGTGAGAAAGCGCATCTCAATGTCAGCGCCGGGCCACGCAATGCAAAGTTTAAAGTCACGTGGGAGAGGTTACATTCGGTGCGGCCCAACTCTCTAATGATCTCGCGCGTGCAAAATTACGTTTTAATTATTATTACGACTGTTATTATTATTGTCGGATTAATTATATTGGATTATGTAATCGACCAGCGCAAAATGCGCGCAGAGTTCACGCGTGAGGCTTTGTAACGGCGGAACGGGAGTTTTTTTCCACTCTCGTCTCGAGGCGTTCAATTGTGTTCTTAAAACAATCTCAGTTAATGCATATATTGTTTTAAGTTTTAACCAAGGAACAGTTATTTTCTTTGAAAGCAAAACAACCGTACTCGTCAAGCCGAATAATCATCGCGTTCGGGCGCACCGTCTCTTATTAGCGAAGCGAAGATACACTCCGCGTCTTCTGCGTGCAAAACAAAACGCGCGCGTTTGGTCGAAGGTGCCAGTTACCGCCGAGACAAACCGCTTCACTTGGTCCAATTCAATCGTTCAGCGCGAAAAACGCCGAGATGCAACTAACTTTGCGCGTTTTTCTTTTTTTGTGAAACTCGAGAAACCGCATTGCGCTCGCGAGCACACCGCCTCGTTTGATTCTAATAAGTTGCACGCACGCCGTTATCAAGACAGCATGTTGTATTATCCCTGTGTGTGTATATGTTACAAAGCGTTATCGTGTTTGTATTAAAACCTTAAACGCTTCTTCGACATCCCGAAAATGAACCGAACGGCAGATTCCCGCGTGCGGTGTCGCACTTCGGCAAAAGTGCCCTGGCCCGTACCGTAAAATCATTGGCGCACGCGGTGCGTAAATGTGCCCGCGCGTGCAGTGTGGACGCCGCAGTGCCGTGCCACGCCGCGACGTACCTCTCGTGTGCACACGGGTGCCGAGTTTTCACGCCGTGCAAGCTCCACGTCAAACGCGTTAGGCAGTCAACTGTGACCGCCGAACGGCGCGCGCTGCGTTAAGAACGGCGAGGTCGACCCGCGGAGTGCGCATGCATCGAGCCCCGAACGCAAATTCGTCGCGTGCCATTTTAATTATGTATAAATACAGCACTTAACAACTCGTGTGTGTAATATTAACAGTGGGGCCACGTATTGAAGGGCTTTGTAATTGCTCACTTGTATCTTTGGTTGTTGTTGTTGTTATTTAAAATCTCTTCCGAGGGAAGAAAAGTTGTTTCGTGAAAACTCGCGTGCGTGTTGAAGCAAAAGCGCTCGCAATTTAAGGTCATTTTGGGGTCAACTTTAATCCGTCACAATTCTCAGAAACAGGGCAATGATGTTACTTTTTGGTTTGTTTTGTATCGCCCCACGTCCCTCGTCTTATGATTTTGATCTCACTGATCAAACGACGAAATGTGCAGTGGGCACCTACCGCATTTATCTGCCCATGGATTGTGACGATGACATTCGATCTCTGCACGAAGGACATTACGCGAGAGTCTGACTCTGGTGCATGCAGTGAGTGACATCGTCGCAAGTGTTACGGCTCGTTGGTGATCACAGATTTAACTCGCGTACTCATTCAATCAGTAAACAACTTAACCAGCCCCCCCCACCCCACCCAAATAAAAATCCGAAGGTCGTACGACTCGACGCGCGCGATCGAGAAGCCACGGGCACACTCACCGATCATTTATTTGTGGATGTCAATCTTCGTGACCTACGAGGCGGCGTGGGGAGGCATTCATCCAGCAGTGGATTGGCAAAGGGCCGTGAATTATTCATCACTAACTTTATTTTTTTATAGCTTTTTGAGGGGCAGGGAGACAATGGCACGCATTTGTGATACTCGTAAAATATATATATACACAAATATGACATTTACATTTTAGCTACAGACGTTGTGTGTGCCAGTTGATTGTCTGGCGTCTATTTCAACCTTCAACAGAATGTACCCACAGTTTATTCAACTTTACACGTAGCTACTCATGATTGAATTTTTTTTATGTGATTCAACTTATAATGAACACAGTAAACTAAGTTATTTAATGAAGAACGCCTCAATGCTCTTTTTCATGAGGGATGTTCAGCAACTTCATTTTCATTTTTAAATCGCGTGTTTTGCGATATGCCGGACGAAACAGGAGAATCCAGATACAACTCAACGGACATTCAAAGGGGAATAACAATGACACCTCCACACAGACGGCATCACAACCCACTTGCTCTACTGCCCTATGTTGACCAAACAACAAACTCGTCCTCACGCACTCACTCACGCACTCACTCACGCACTCACTCATTCACGCACTCACTCACGCACGCACACGCTCACTCACGCACTCACTCACGCACTCACACGCTCATGCACTCACTCACTCACGCACTCACTCACGCACTCACTCACCCACGCACACGCTCACTCACGCACTCACTCACCCACGCACTCACTCACGCACACGCTCACTCACGCACTCACGCACGCACTCACTCACGCACTCACTCACGCACACGTTCACTCACGCACTCACTCACGCACTCACTCACGCACACGCTCGCTCACGCACTCACTCACGCACTCACGCACACGCTCACTCACCCACGCATTCACTCACGCACTCACTCACGCACTCACTCACCCACGCACTCACTCACTCACTCACGCACTCACTCACTCACTCACGCACGCACACGCTCACTCACGCACTCACTCACGCACTCACACGCTCATGCACTCACTCACTCACGCACTCACTCACGCACTCACTCACCCACGCACACGCTCACTCACGCACTCACTAACCCACGCACTCACCCACTCACGCACTCACTCACTCACTCACGCACTCACTCACTCACTCACGCACACGCTCACTCACGCACACCACCAGCATCCTCGACCCAACCTAGACGATCGAGACGGCGCGAGCAACAGCGCTCTCGCTTGGACCACCTTTTACGCACGCGCCGCCTCGACGGCAGAAGCCTCGATAATCGAGGCACCTTGCTCTCTGCACCCCACCCACCCCCTGCGCACCCCTCCCTCTGCCCCGCACGATGCTCACCACCCCCCTCCACTCGGCAAACCATCTTAGCTCGCTGCCACCTTCGTTGCGTGGACGCAGGGCCGAGCGCCAGACGCGACCGTGCCGAGCACCGTTTATTATTCATGAGACGGGCGCGGCACCGCGCGGGCGGCCGAGCCCCTCCCGAGCCCCCCTCGCCATCTGGCCCGGTCCGGACCGAGAGCGGCGCGGGATCCCCCCGGCCCTGGCCAGATGAGCTCGCCAGCCGGCCCGCTCTGTGCACCACGCAGCCTCCGAGCCCTTCGGGCGAGTGAGTGGGCGAGCGGGCGAGCAGGCGGGCAAGCAGGCGGGCAGGCTGGCAGGCAGGCGGGCAGGCGGGCGGGCAGTAACACGGGACACGGGTGTCGGGCAAAAGCTGCTTGATGTGCCCCCGTCGCGCTGTTTGTTGATGGAGAGGAGACCCGGGATGTTGCGCTGTTCTCTTGTAGGGGGTGCGGAGTAGTAGTAGGAGGAGGGGGAGGAGGAGGAGAGGCAGTTGACGGGGTGGTTTGGAACGCGAGGAGATTGCAGTGGGGGCGATGATGACTCGTTTCGTTTCGGATGTGGCGGTGGTTGCTGGTGGTTGGTGGTGGTGGTGGTGGTTAGACATCCGTTCGCACTCAATGAGTCAATAGGAGGATTTGCAAACCACGGAAATGTTACGACGGCACTCAAGTGCGGCTTGCCCAAGATCTGTTTTGCTAGAGTGTGCCATAGAGTCTTGCGTAACGTCTGTTTACCGCAATAAGCAACCGAACCCTGCGCGTGCAGGGGTGGGAATCGGGTGGCGCCAAGGCGTTTCAATAGTGGTCAGTCACCGAGAAACTGTGGCTACTGACATACCTTGAAGACTTTGCCTGATAAACGTGAAACATTGGCGTCACTGACCCAGTCGTGTTCGTTACACGCGTTCGATAGACGCGTCGACAGAGATGTAACGAACGCAGTCGCGTTGTCAGAATAGCGATAACTCGGAAGGGGAGCGGTGGGGCACTGATT